GACAATAAAAAATGTTTTCAATTTTTTAAAAATTCTTCATCTTTTTTTTTTTTTTCTTTATCAAATATAAATGTGTGTGGATTATAAAAGTGTATGTGTAATATCATAAAGTTCCGTTCTTTATTGTTTTTGTTTGTATTTATTTTAAAGTAAATTTAGGTTATAGCCAAAGGATTTTTAGGGAATTATGCAGATATTGCTTTGTGATTAGATTATATGTGGATTGTTTTACACCTTCTTCCTGAACTAAACATTAAATTAAATTTTTATTTTTCTTTTTTCAAAGTCACTGCATCAATTTAATGTTATTGTGTTACTACATACTTATCTTACACAACAGAGTAAGGTAAAATAACAGAGGAATTACATATTATATATTGTTTAGCTCGGAGCGCTACGCAATCTATTCATTAAGTTCTCACTGACAAGCACGATGATATTTAATATGACACATATGAGATGATAAATTAAAATTCATGAATTTTACATAAAATCGTAACAATAGATGCGTAAAGTTCAGTGAAGGACTAGAAAATATTTGCTTTAGTGTATATTATACTCGCAAATATTTAATTTTTCCCCATAAAATAATATTGCCTGTAAATTCAAGATCCTTTACAAAAGCAACACCTACCTTTCTTTGAACCACTGTTTAATTATCAAGCTGTCTTGATTTTTTAATAGCATATAGTGGACAACAATTTAAATTATTTGACTAAAACTTGGCTGAGTCAAATGTGAAAATAAAAATTATTTTGACAATTGCCAACACAGGTATATTTTGATGTACGATAATTCGCTGAGCACGAAATTTTACGACATTAACAATGTGTTTTAAAATAATTACTCACAACATTACAATAATAATCTCAATCAAATGTCATAATAAAAATTATTTTGACAATTGTCATATCGTAGATTTTGGTATACGATAATTCGCTGAGCACGAAATTTTACGATATAAACAGTTATCAAAAATTTTATTAGAATGTTCTTTAATAATTACTCACAAGATTACAGTAAAAATCTGAATCAAATGTCAAAAATAAAAATTATTTTGACAATTGCCACATCGTAGATTTTGGTATACGACAATTCCCTGAGCGCGAAATTTTACGATATAAACAGCGATTACTGGAATAATTACTCACCAGATCACATTTGTGTTGATTTTTTTTTTCACATTATAAATATGGATGGATAATTTTAATATCTCAATTTCACTCTAATCTCATAAATTCTGCATAACTAAAAAAATTTTTAGTTTCCTGGGGATAAAAACATTTTAAAAACTTTTAATATGGCATATTTATATAATTTTTGTTTTGCTTAAGGATTGTTGCTATGCAACATATGTATATAAAATTTTCATTTTTAAAATAATATCCTTTCTCTGACGGAAATCCGTATGTTTTAAAAAGTTGCATAAAATTTAATCTTAAAACAAAATATGTAACTATATATAATGGTGTATAACGGAGGGGTGTGACTCCAAAAACAAATTTCAATAGAAAAACTTTTATTAAATGAAATGTTGTATTTCTTTTTTTGTAAATCTAATTTGTAAATCTAATGTTGTAGGCAATTTTTTTTATTTTTTTTTTTTTTGTTTTTCGTTAATAACAAAATGAATTTTAACATTTTGTGTTTTTTTTGTTTTGTACTAAATTTTTAAATGAATTAGTTTAAGTGGGTTAAGGCAACTCTAACGAGAGCACATATGTGAGAGTTTATCAAACACATTACAGAAGAGTAATGAAAATATTTTGTAAACTAAAATCTAGTTGCCTATGTTGTTGTACATAAAATAATAAATTAATTTTTGATTAAATGAAATTGTTTTTTTTTTTTTTAATATAAAAATTTAATTGGCAAAATGGCAATCATGTAAAAAAAAAAAAAAGAAGAAAAGGACACTTCAAATGTAATGAGAAAATAATATGCAGGTAAAAGGCAGTTTATAGAAATTCCCACATTTGTGTGGGTAAAATGCGGGTAAGTAAGTAGGATTTTCAATAACAAAATTTTTTAATAAGGAAAAGTATTTTTTTTCTTGATATAGTTTTTCTTCTAGAATCTAGAAGGTCAATTTCAATCTAACTCTGAAATTTTAGTAATCTTTCAACAATAACCAATAATTTATGAAATTACACTAGAAGAAAATATTTCTCCAACTCTATCGCTAAGTTATCGTATCTTAAAACTCACAAAATTTGTATATAAAACAGTTTAAGGTATACATAACGCGGTAACGCGGTACGCATCAAAAAATATAATATATTCGTATTTATCTTAAATCACTTATTTAACCATTGAATTCGGCCATTGTTAACTCAGTTTGATTTTTTTTTATTTCTAAACATATGCAATAATTTAAAAATTTTGGTATTTAATGAAAGTATGTCATTTAAATTGCTAATATATAGTTTTCTAGATTGTCATATTAAACCCACACAAATGGTAACATATATGAGTATACGCAAAAATCACATAACAAACTTTAGTAGAAGAACTGTTACATAGAGCCATAGAGCCCTTTATCGAAATATTCGTACGGGCATGAAAGAGTTGATACGTTCAGTTTTATTTTTTTAGTAATTTTACATTTTTTATATTTTTACAGAATTTCAAAGCCGTTGTGTTAACAAACTTGGATTTTCTTATGTTTTCCAAAGAAAAATAATTCTTAGATATTTATTTAAGAAAAAATAATTACATTTTTTTAATTAAAAGCGAAAATTTTAATAATTTAACAATTAAAAAGAAAATTAATTTTATCTTTTAAACAAATATGCTTTTCAAGAACCCCCCCCACCGCCACATATATAGGTTAATTTATTCCTTTTAAAATCTATGTTAAAATCACTTAGTGATATTATGAAATTAGAATAGTGTTGTATGATTGCAAGTTTTCACAAATATTCTAATACAATTGTATAAAGTATGCCAAAGATGTACAGAGTATACCATTCATTAAAGACAAATCAAAAAATTTAGGTAAAAAACTTTCGCAGCATTTTCCAAAATTTTTGCATTAAAACCAATTATACTTAAAGAACTAAAATTTAAGTCATTTCTCTTATCCTTTATTATCTATACATGTTTTTCAAAGAATAATGCTAATTTACTATATAAAATATAAGCAATCTTACAAATCTAGTTACACCTTTTAATGTAACATTTGCGTATATGAATTTTTATTTATAACTATTATGCATTCAATAAACCTCATAAACCCTCATATAATGGAATAATATAATGAAATTTTCTAAAGGGAAGTAGCTATATACTAATTATTTTCCTTTTTCCTTTGTATATTCTTACTCTGGCTGCGACTGTAATAATTGCAGATAAAAAGTCAACTATTGTTATTTTGCGCACAAAAAAGAAAAACAAGAATGGTTTAAAATGTTTCTTTATATTCTTTATTCCGGATTTTTATAGCATCCTTTTGATCCTTCCAGTTAAAAACACTATATAAATACTTTTATAGTTTCCTTCTTTTTTTTTGCTGTTCATTATTATAAAAAAAATATGTTTAAACCCTTTTTGCAATAAATTTATGTATGAATAATTGTAAATAGTTCCAGCAAAAAATAATTGTACTCAAGTGTTGTATATAAAAGCATAAGAAATATTTAAAAGAAAATAAATAAGAAAATAGAGCAGATCAGATCTTACGTTTTTTTTGATTTTCAAGATAAATATGAATCTTGGCATCAAAATAAGAGTTTAAAATGTCTTGAACCTTATTGCCACAGGTTCCTTATTTTCCCTTTTAAAAATCTTTTAATTTTCCATTTAGTTTACATTAAATTTCATTTTCTTTGTTAGGTCAGTGGGCTATACTTGATTCTTTTACAGAAATATGAAGCATATTTAGAGCAACACTTCATTTTTAAAATGTAAAGAGTTTAAATATTAAAGTTGTTTGTAAAATTGTACGGAATGCTGAAGAAAAATCTTATGAAAGTTTTTTCAGTCTTAATCATTATCTAGAAAAAATGTACAAAAACTGAATGATTTTATAATAATTAAAACAGCAAAACGAGAGAAAAGATAAAGTTTATCGTATAATAATTTTATAATACTCGAATGAACGTTTCCTCGTGAGAAAAGGAATCAAACATGAGAAATGAATTCATTGAACTGGTTCCTATTGTAGCAACCATTTTTTACTTTTTTTTAACAACCGTTGTGCATACGGCATACAATCATACCAAGATAGGTAGATTTGAAATGGCTATAGGGATTGGTATTACGATGGTGTTATATTCGACGTCCATGGGTGCATTGAACACGTTTCTCTATTGGCTTCCGACAGAATTACATATTGATAACCAGTTATCACAAACGTACCGTCCGGGTAGTATTATTGGGACACTTCTTGCCGAAATGGCCGATGTATTCACGGACACGAAATTTTGACAGAAACTTTCGTATCGAGCTTCCTTGTCGTGGCAAATGGAAAGCGCTGGCTTTTTTGATGGATTTTAGGGTGGCTGTATTCACCGTTGGTTCCAAGAATAGGAATGGGGCCGGTGCTGCAAAATTCTCCGCGACATATGGGGTATTTTAATTGTTTCGATTTCCTAACGAGTCATGTGTGTCTGTCTACATGCGGAACAGCAAATAAAATATAGCCAAAGTACGACATTAACAATTGGGATGGGCTCCTGGCAACGTCACATAAAATGAGCATTGCCGCCCTGAAGGTAATCTACAAGCAACATTGATCATTGGGCGAGCATTCGGCTAGGCTGAAATTTATCTTCAATATAATTTACCGTACCTGCCGGGAGATGGGCAAAAAGAACACGCTTTTCAATTGTTTTTATCAATTCTTTTAATTTATTTTTAATTTTAACGTTTCCAAATACAAATTATTTCTCTCGACTTTAATTGAAGTCTATTAAAGCGCTATTAAAAGATATGATTTATAACATGAAATGTATACCTGTCTTAAACTAGAATAATGTAGGAGTGCAATAAAAACTTACCGTTAAATCTCTCCATATAATGCATCGTTCTCAAACCAAAAGTCGAACACCTTTAAAGAAAATAAAAGGAACATTTATTATATAAAAGTTTGTTGTTTTTAATTGAAATTCTTTAGGATTTATTATAATTTTTTTTTATTGTTAAGCGCATTCTGTATAGATATACAGAAATAAATGTTACTAATATGCTTAAAATTTTAAAAATTTTCTATTAAATTTCTTGACACATAATTTCATTTATAAGTATAAAACTAAATTATTTATCTGCGATATTATCAATTTTAACTAATTCTCATTTACTATATATACCATAGATTAAGGGCGTATATATATATATATATAATATAGAATAATAAATTGTCTAACACCTTTCCCATACATGTATGTAATGCTAAAAGCTTTGGATATTAAAACTAAAACATCTTACACTAAATATGTCTGTGCCATTAATAAAATGAGAAAAATAAATTAGAAAAAGGATATTTTTTTTATTATTATATACCAATATATACATATCTATATTGCATATTCAATGTATACATACACATATTTACATTTGCATATAATATTGTTTGAATATTTACTAAAGGAATTATCAATCTCAGTGTATTTTAATATCGCATTTTAATATTAGAGAGTATATGCAGTTTATCTTGGGTGGGCCATTAATGACTTTCTTTTCGAAAAAAAATCCTTCTATAATTTTTTTCATATGACAAAGTTGGGTTAAAAAACAAGCATCTATGTCAAGTCCAACCTCCTTCTGCTCATAAGGATTTGAGCACAAAACCGAAAAGCTCGTTTGTATCAAATATACAAAAGTATTAAAGCAAGTTTAAAAATACTACTTGATGGAACAGATTTATAATTTCGCTCAAAAAATTACTGCAAAAGATATACCTGCAGTATTCATACGTGGGAGAAATAGATCAACGAAACTTACACAACTGTGATATAACATTAAAATTTTATTTACTTAACCTTTAAACACTTACTATCAACAACGACTTAAAGCAACATTTTAAAGACAATTCAACTCCTAAAGCCTGAAAATGACAAACCAATAAAGACGCAAATGTTCTACTCCATACTGTTTTAACTTAGTTTAATAATAAGGCCAAATATTTTTTAATACGCTTAACAATTTCCTTATTTCCAATAATGCAATAAAATTTGTGATCTTTTTGATCTACTAAGCTATAAATCTTACTTAAAAGACACTCCCAATACATAATAGAAAAAGTGTATTTGTGTGTTTTGTCTAGATATGTTTGTGTATATATGTTTAGAATGCAGAGAAAGATAAAAATGAAAAAAAAATTTTTTTTAATTAAAAGATTCATTCACAGCAAGCAATTTACTTTTCTTTCATTTTATAAAGGTGCACATTGCACTATCATGCTGATTAAAATTATTCAAAATGAAACTTTATTCTACTATGAAATGTTTATGTGTATATATATCAACATGTGTGTATGTAGTATGTATGCTCATGGATAAATAACTTATGAAAATATTTAATTTATAATATTGTACAAATTAATTTTTGTTGCATTTATTAAATGAAAAACTCATATACACACAGACACTTACAATTAAAAGATAAAAAAAAAATAAGTCAAAGTTTTTTTAATAAATTAAGAGAAGAAGAACTTTGGAATCTTAAAGTTATACATTTAATAAATTATAATTTTTTTTTAAATGATTTCGAAAAAATTTTTCAGAAACATGTATATTAGAGTGTACTCGTAATATAATTAGAATTTTGAAATGAATGTTCTTTGATACACGTCCATTACTATAATTTAATTGAGATTAAGAGAAAATTTTATTGAAGATCAATATTGAATTTTATAACTACTCGAATATTAGTAAATCTTATAATTAATGTGTGTATAGGTTCATAAAAACCATAATAAATGATTTCAGTAAATATTTTAAACTGTACTATAATCTTATCTTTGTTTTGCAATATGTTCTCTAATGAACTGTATATTGATCTCCTCCCAAAATTTATTACAAATTTATAAACGCTTTATACACCGTCTTTATGTCGGCAATATTCTGTCTTCTGTTAATACTCTATTCTTCTCCTTCGCCCCCGCCTTTAACGGGTATTGACTTTGCCTGAAAAGCGAAAGTTATACAGAAAAGTCTGAGAAATTTAAAATTCTCTGATTATATTAGATGTATGAAAAGGTAAATTTAAATAATTTAAGTAAATCTATATGATTGGTTGTAGTTTGCAGAATAGGGTAATGATGAAAACGCGACCTAAAAGATCTATTGTGCTCCCAACACAAGCACCCAGTCTCCCGCCTAGAACATCCTTTCGACCTCTACCCTTCTGATAAATCCAAGTAACTTTTTCGGGGAGATATCCGAGTAACTTTTTCGGGGAGGGCCCGCCCAAGGTATTATTTTTCCCAAGCTGGAGGGTATAATTAGATTTATGATATTATAAAGAAATTAAAAAATAATTGAATGTAAAAATTTATTAAGTAAATGAATTCTTGTTGCTAGGTTATTTAACCATTCTTTGAAACAAGCGCATTGTTAATTTTTTAAGAACAAATTCCTTCATAAGCTCCTTCAAATTTAACCTATCGAAAAAAAGCTCTTTTAATATACAATTAGCAAAATATCTACATTTACATAGCTAGATTTAAGATTCAATGTACATATTTTACTTTTTGCTATAGCATATGATACACTTACATACATATTAAAATATAGTCTCTATATTTGATTTTTACTGACGTGTGCAAAAAATATTGAACTGGAAATTGTCATTGTCATCAAATATTAAATATTTTTTTTGGAATTGCAAGAATATTTAAATTTTTGTCAAATTATAATCCTAAATTTATGCAATTTTTCATAATTTTCTTTTTAAATTAAATTTCGATTTAAAATTTATGTCAAATTTTATTTAAAACAAAAAAATATTTTTTAATATTTTTTGACATCTCATATGCATATAAATTGAATTTGAAATTGGAAGGATAATAAATACTTGAATATTTCAGATTTCTATTCTTAAGATCAATATAGATTTGCCAAATGCAATGCCGGAAAAAATCTCACTTGAAGTTCAAGCAGATCAGATTTAGGGTTTTATATTCTAATTTAAGAATTCTACTCCACTACAAAAAATAAATTATAAATTGTAATTTTTTACTGATAAAAATTGCTGCCGTGTAAAATTACTCTCTGATAAGAGAAAAACCTGCTGTTAAAAACATTTTCTTTTAATACATAAAAAAAGTTCTGAAAAATGAAAAATCTATATAGAGGGTACAGACATACCCATATAAATAACGGTAACTCATATAAATACATAATGTATAACGGGGACATTATTAAATTTTATCTTTCATACTGTACACCAACACGGAACGTATAATCAAATCACTGTGTAAAAAAAACTGTCCATATGAATATTTATAGTAATATTAAATCCCATCGTTGCTACGTGACATTAATTTATTCATAATATGCATACTTCAATTAAGGATTTGAGAAATTACAATTTTATAAATACATAATAAATAACATGCTGATGAAACAAAGTAGAGCAGGCTATGTGATCGGAATACCATACGAATTTTTAAGAATTATATGAGTAATTATATAAATGAAAAAAGGTTTACAAATGCAGTCTTTACAAAATTATGGAATGAACAAAACAATTTAATTATTGTGGATAAAATCGATTTCGGAGTTAACTACAAAATTACTTTTCAAAAGAAGTACTTTTCTATTCTCGAAAATATTTTGTGATAATGAAGGAATATATACAAAGCCATATTTTCATAGCAATACTAATTCTACAACGAAACTCGTTTGTCCAGTATTCGGAGCTTGAAGCCTTAATAGTTTCTGAGATATATATAATACAAATATATTATGACAGTCACTTAAACCCCTATATTTTGATCTGAATCAATTGTTAAAACGTCATTAAATATATGTAGTATTTACCTTAAAAAATCTTTAAAAGTTCTGTACTCCCAGCTTATTGCGTTTTGAGATATCTCTGGAATGAATGAACAGACGGACAAACAAATTTCGTATATATGCATATAATGAAAATAAAAATCGACTTCAAGCCACCACTCAATAAAATCGCCAACAAAATGCAAACCCCGTGTCGAAATTGATAACCAATCAAAATTGTCAGAACAATAATGTCAAAATTGTTTTAAATCATAAACATAACAACTATATAATTAAAACCATCGTGAAATATAATTTGATTAAAACGTTGTCTCTCTCTTTCTTTCTCTCTATAACACAAAACTTAAATCCTGTTAATGATTTGAATTTATTCTGTTTGATAAAAAAAATACCAGTGGTAAAAAATGACTGGCACTTATATGGAATAAATTAAACTTTAATTTGTATGTAAGAGTGTCAATCTTCTGTTATCATCATTTTACAATTTAATACCGTAAGGATTGGTTATTTTATTACATTAAATCGTTTTTCATTTATTATTCTTTTATGTAATACGTAAATAAAAATTGGAACAATTAAAATTGTGTAATAAGTGTTTGAAATTAAAAAATTTCTCTTCACACAAATTCTGATTGTATGCCATCATCTTGTACGTCAAAGTGAAAAGGACTCTTCTTAATAGTAAAAAATGAAACTGACTAAATTACTCCTTACACAATTGAATTTTTTTGTTAAAAAAATTATTATTATATTTTTTACCTCTGAGGGACAAAAAGAGAAAAAAAAAGAAACGAATGTGCAAAAGAGAAAAGAAAATTATTATAAAAATATGACAAATAATTTGTCATGGCATTTTGGAATTACAAAAAACAAAAATTCATTTACAAAAAAAAAATGAGAAAATTTTTTTTTAAGAAAACAAAAAAATTTTTTTCTTTTCTTTGTTTTCCCCAAAAGTTGACAATATGTCGACATTTTTGGTACCCAACGCAACTTTGAAAAGTTTATTGTTATAAAATTACATGCGGAATGAAAAATTTTCACATCCTTAAAGTGTTCATTAGTGTGTCTTGTATTGTATTACGGATTC